TTGGGATAACTTCTGAGAGGACGTTTGTCCACACTGGGCTAAGCATCAAGATGCAATCTCATCGGGTCGGCTCCCAGGAGCCCACCAAGACTGGGCAGCTCTGGGTCACCAACTTAGCCTCGCTGCTCATCCAGCAGTGGTGGAACCTGTGGGAGGATCAAAATGCTGCCAGGCATGGCAAAGACAGGGAAGACCAGTAGAAGAAGAAGCACAACAGCTTCAGCGGGAGGGAACTCATCTACGAGAAAGCGGATGATCCCAGCGGAGCTGGTGGAATTTATTCTTCAAGCGCCGCTTGACGAGCAAATGGCAAAGGGCCCAGGCGACATAAAGCGTGGCTTGCCAATTGGCTGCCCGTCGTCGACAAGGCACTCAGGGACGAGCATGGCACGCACGAGCAGAACAATGACACAGGGTAACTACCGCACAGAAGGGGGCCTTACCGTAGAAATAGATGGCAATCCAGCAAGGGTAGTTAGTTAGCTGCAAGCACCCTCCGGAGTTTTTAAACTTCTCCGGTGGGGGCTTGCACTAGGCCGGTTCCTATGTGGCGTCCTTGTACGTCTGAGGTACCCCGGTTCAATATGGTCCGTTCAGCGGTGGTCTATTGAGGTGCAGCCTAAATAATAAAACTTCGTTATTTTTTACTGTGGTTCGACATAAGAACGATCGCGGTTCCCTTTGATAGGGGAGCCAACGGCGGATCCTTGGTAAGGATGCTCGCGTCATGGTTTCACACCAACGCAGGTTGATGTCACTGGCATCGACAACCATGAGATGAACGGTCTGAAGATCGTTGATGGCGTTGGTAAATCACCTCACACGAGGTCCCATCATAGTTGTGCTCCGCCATATGCCTACCATGGTATCAACCGTACCATCCTGCATCTGGTCAGATCGAGCACTACAAGAACCGAGTAGATGATCGATCCCTCCTATGTGGTGGCAGACAATGCATCCACACCAACGATGGCTTCATCATTCCTCTGGATATTGTAATGGACTTCCGTACATGCGAATGTGCCCTCCTTCGACAATGAACTTGCAACACTCACCCATGTCATTCTGACATCTGGCGAGTTATGGGATCCCAAGGTTCTCGACTTAAGACACAGTGAACACGACGACTGGTACAATCGTATCAAACTCAAGATGATGCACCGCCCACTATGCTTTCGATTCACAAGGCATTACAAACACCGTGAACCGCATCATGCAACCCACGTTGAAGCAATCACCCCACTAGACGAGAATCCACTGAACATCAACCATGCTACCTTTCTCGAAGCCTACAAGATTGCTCCAACCTCAACCAACCTTGCATCCTTGCAGAATCCGTCTATTCTGCCTTTGATACTGATACCGTCCCGTCTAAAGACCACATCATTATCCCAGCCACCGAGTCCACTCCTAAACCACCAGACTACCGAAAGTACAGCCCATTCTTTCTCCACGTTCCCGTTGAGAAGATTGGAACCATTCATCTTCAACAAGCGGCATATGAAGACTGACAATCCCACCGAATCAGGACTACCTCCTGAACAGATGATAGAAAGAACCTTTCTCATGCCACCCGCAGAAGATGGAACCCAAGTAAGAGCCAAGATCCTTGAAAGAGTCAAATACCACAAGGAGAAGGTTCAACAACATCCCGACATGATCAAGTTCAAATGCAGAGTCAACGACGAGTACGAGGAGATCGTAGCCTACAATGATATCGTGGACTACATTGAACAAGACCAAACTTGGGATGGCACATGGAAGTTCCGCAAAATCTTGGATCATCAAGGTCCCATCAGATCATCTGACAAGGAACGATACAAGGGTTCACGGTACAACATCCAAGTTGAATGGGAAACCGGGGAGATAACTTGGGAGCCTCTCACCATCAAAGACAAGATGGGAGTACACGAGTCTGATCCAGTCACGGTCGCCATCTATGCTGAAGAACACGGTCTACTAGACACAGTTGGATGGAAACTACCAGGACTCAAGAAGATCGCAAAGACTCAAAAGCGACTCGTACGAGCGGCTAACCAAGCAAAGCTTCACTCCTTCAGGACCAAGCCCGTGTTCATGTACGGATTCCAAGTTCCGCGCAACCATGATCAAGCCATGGAACTAGATGCGCGCAATGGAGATACCAAGTGGAGAGATGCCGAGATGATCGAACTTAACCAGATTGATGAGTACGAGACCTTCATCAACAAAGGAAAGGGACATAACCCTGGACCAGATTGGAAGAAGATCCGAGTGCATATGGTGTACGCAGTCAAACACGATGGGCGACACAAAGCACGACTTGTCGCTGGAGGACATCTCACTGATACACCAGTAGACTCCGTCTATTCCAGTGTGGTTTCGTTACGTGGGATTCGTATCCTCACATTCCTCGCAGAACTCAATGATTGCGAAGTATGGGCAACAGACATTGGAAACGCCTACTTGGAATCATTTACGAAAGAGAAGGTGTACGTTGTCGCAGGGCCCGAGTTTGGAGATCGAGAAGGATGCACCCTCATCATCAGCCGTGCCCTATACGGACTCAAGTCTTCTGGATTACGATGGCATGAACGATTTGCAGATGTTCTTCGTTCGATGGGATTCTTTCCTTCAAAAGCCGAATCAGACATCTGGATGAGAGACAAAGGGAGCTACTACGAATACATCGCTGTGTACGTAGACGACCTCCTTATTGTCAGCAAAGACGCATCCAAGATCATCGCGACATTGGAAGGGGAGCACAAGTTCAAACTAAAGGGAACCGGTGCCATCAGCTTCCACCTAGGATGTGATTTCTTCCGTGATGAGAACGGAGTACTGAGTTACGCACCTCGCAAATATATTGAGAAGGTACTCAGCCACTACCAACGGATCTTCGGACTCATGCCCAAACAAGCCTCATCTCCACTCATCAAAGGAGATCATCCAGAGACTGACACAACAGAGCTACTCGATATGGACACACAGAAGATATACCAATCTCTCATCGGTAGTCTACAATGGGCAATTCAAATCGGAAGGTTCGATATTGCCACGGCCACCATGACGATGTCCAGATTTCGGGCAGCACCAAGAATGGGTCTCTTAGAGCGAGTCAAGAGAATCTGCGGGTACCTTTCCAAGATGCGACACGGCATCATCCGCATCCGAAAGGAGGAACCGGATTACTCAGCGATTCCTAAGAAAGAGTACGAATGGGAGTACTCATGCTACCATGGTGCCAAAGAAGTTCAACCGCACAACGCACCGGTACCTCAAGGCAAACGGGTCATTCTCACCACATATGTGGATGCGAACCTCTATCACGATCTCATCAGCGGACGGTCAGTTACCGGAGTTCTACACCTAGCGAACAAGACTCCCATCGACTGGTTCAGCAAGCTACAGTCAACAGTCGAGACCGCAACGTTCGGATCCGAATATGTTGCAGCCCGTACCGCCACTGAGCAGATCATTGACCTACGAAGCACATTCAGGTACGTAGGAGTACTGGTCGACACGCTGACCATGATGTTCGGAAACAACAAGACGGTAGTCAACACCGCCTCAATGCCACACTCAAAGATTCTCAAAAGACACAATGCGCTTTCCTGTCACCGTACTAGGGAAGCTGTTGCTGCAAGTATCTTGAGATTTCATCATATCCCTGGATCTACTAACCCTGCAGATATCCTCAGCAAGTACTGGGACTATACATCGGTATGGCCTATGCTGAATGCACTACTGTTTTGGTCAGGAGATACCAAGGATTGCGGTAAGAAACACTCAGAGTCGACAGTCGCCACTGAGGGGAGTGAAAGCGTTACAGTTCCTCCCACGACTCAGAGTATCCGTGAGTAGATTGAGTCATGCTTTATGAGTCAACACGATGGAACAGAGAACGCTGGCAAGAATACGTTCTCAACGAAACCAAAGGACACGGTAAACTGGAGTATTCGACAGGAGTAAAGCATCCTGCCAACGAACCGTTCCCCGCAGATACCACGTTGACTTCCGTATGAATCAAGATCAACTACCACGATGCATTGATCTAACTCGCTACGAACTAGCTTTACTGATCGCATCAATCAAAGCTCACAACACAGATTATGAATTACTAAGAAGTGAACTTTGCATTTATTTTGCACTCGTCTTGAATAGTTGCAGTTGATCTCGTTGGGTGGTAGCTACCTCTACAAGATCCCTCTATTCAAGTAGTATTTCCTCACGTTAGCACTATGAGCAAAGGCAGCATCAGAATATCTGGGTGTTATGCAGGATTTGAGCACTCTGGGCCACACTGAGGCTCCTGGATCCTCCTGAGGTCACCTGATTGAGTAGATGCTCGCCTCATGGCCATCTTGGGTGATACAGTGGTCAAAACCTTCATATGGGACCATATGAGGCTTCCCTGGTTCCATATGTATGGCCTGTGTCTCACCACTACCAACCAAGATTCTCTATATCTTTGCTTGTTCCACATACCATGTGGATACCAGTAACATAAGACAGACAGTTTGTTCTCACACTCACCACGTTGATCCCATGGATCCAACCCACATTTTATCGGCATTCTGTGAAATCTGCATGGTCACCATTACCCAAATCAGTCACATTTGGCATCTGGTCACCAAGAATCTTGTATAGCCCACAAGCCCGGAACGTGGCACAAAGCACCATCCCATTGGGTACAGTGGACTTCTGGGGAAGCTCAAAGAACTTCTCTTGCTGAGACCAGCCCCACTTAAACTTGTTTGGGTTCTGTAACTGGAGATGATTCTTGACATTGATCGCTCTGGTTGGGGGTGTTTCAAGCTTCATAAGGTAGCCAAATCGCCTATGCATCAAGCCTCCATGGCCTAGTGTGTGCGTGACATCAGCTCTCTCAACTTTGTCATACATGCCAACCAATCTTTGACATGAACCGACACCATCTTCCGGGTAGGACCGTAGTAAACTGGAGTGGATTCTGGGCATCTCCCAGGTCTTTCAAGTCCTCCATGAACCGGTGTTCCGTATCAGCCCAAAACTCGCTCTTTTTTGGCACCAACTGCAATTGGCAGTGTGTTGTCGGTGGAGTTCACGTTGTCTTTTGGTGGCAAAATTGACCAGCTCCATGTTGTCACTGAAGACCGGTTGTTCTTGACGTGGCTTATCCCGTGCCCATCTCTCCAGTCACTGCAGGGCACAACCAGGACAACATCGAACTCTTCATCGCTGTTTCGGATGAATTTTATGGTGCCTCTCTTCATCTCTTGCACCTCACGACAGTCAGACACATGGTACGCCGGTAGGTTCTGTGCTGCATCTAGCTCGGCCTCCAAAGTACTGTTCAATACGTAAATTGGATCCAACTTGAAGCCAAAGGCAAAGGCGAACGTAAGAAGATCTTTTGGGCTAACATAGCCAATGTTGCCAATGTTGTGGACAGGAGGGATAGGTAGGGTGTTCCACAGTGAGTTCTGGTTTCCGTCATCGAATACCCTCCTTAAATCTTTCTTGCTTGAGAGTAAATGGGTGGACTGTAGTAGGGACGAATCATTGCTGCTCCGACGCAAAGCATCAAGAATGTCTATTTGCCTTTGCCATTGAACTTCATTCATGCTTACATACTGAACCATGAACTGAGCCTGGAACACAGCTTCCGGGAAGGTGGGTAGGCTGCTTTGGGAAAGGGCCCAAGTGCCCTGGAATGCCCTGCCAACCAATGCTCTCAGTCCACCACCAATCTTTCCATCGGGTGATCCATGCTCCTCTTCGGCAAAGAAGTAGGCCATATTTGAATCTGCTCCCAAGGCCAAACTCAACTCGGTTGGTGTGGCTTTCTTTTTTCTTTGATGCAAATTAGTAATCCAAGTGATGCTTTCAGCTGGCTGATCGCCAAATAGAGACAAGTCCATGCTGACAGGGAGGGTCTGGTTAGTGTGGGTGGCGTCAACATGATTTAAAGCCGATTCCTCTCCAACAGCAGCCTGTGCTATTGGGTGGAAGTGGCTTGATCCAAAGGCGGACTCATAATTCCGCTTTCCAGGCGATGATGATTGGTGGTGGTCCAGTGAAGTATCATCCTGGCCCCACGACTGCGCGCCCACACTGCAGCTTTCCATCAGGTTGGGATTCTCGGGATCCCCACTATTAGAAGCATTCGCAGCAGCGGTTATTAGGTCCACGGAAGCTTCTTCCTCGATTGCATGGCCAAGAGCTTTCCTATTCTTTTTGTGAATCTTAGAGGCGGAAAGGTGATGTTCTGCATTCGCAATGCTATCTCCACATTTGCGACAACAGTCAACACAGACAAACCAAGTGCGCCCCTTACACCCTGAGACCCTGCATTCGAACTGCAAGCAAGTGCCTTGATTCTCGTGGATAAAAGCCTCTATTACTTTCCTGCAATAGCTCTGGGCTGTGTTGCACTTTCCACATTCGAACACCCGTGCATTTTCGACTCGGCCTTCAGGAAAGTGGTCTGCTATGACATGTGGGATACCATGAGCATTATCTGTAGTACTATCTAATATTGCTGTTGGTTCGTTTGACATGGTTTGTACAAATATATAATAGCTATGTAGTTAGTTTATGCTGCAGCTATATATCATCGACGATGCATGCCATTAATATGTATGGATCCTTTAAAATAAAATTTCATTATTTTAAAAAAAAATATGCATGGATCCTTAAATTCGTGCACATGCGTCCATCGCGTCCATGGCATGGTGGACGCCATGCTACACCTAAAATTCGGAGAAACAGCTGATAGCTTTGTCTTAAATAGACACTGATTCCCAATTTTCAGACCCAATGCCATCTTACACGTTAACATGGGTGTGAAATAGTATTCCTGGTGGGATTCATTGGTCCTGCAGCTGAATTGCTGCTAAATGTTTTGGGAAGCTTTGTCAACTGTTGGGACCCATTGGTCCCTCCGCCTAATTACTGTCAAACAGCTTGGAAGCTGTGGTCTGGACGTCACCACTGCTTAATAGCTTCCAAGCAAGCTGCCAGTGCCGCCAAGTCAGCCAACCAAGCAATCAAGCAGTAAATAAGTGTCAAATAGGAGGTGGCCGGTAACGCGTTCCGCCAAATAGCTAAATAGAGAAGAATTTTAAGGTTTTGGTGCGTTTTGGGTCAAATTGACTGCCAAATAACGGTGAAATTGACTGGTAAAGGCTTATTTAGCTGGGAAAACGGGGATAGTGTTGGGGCAACTGCTGTCATTACACAGTACCGAATGGAATTGGGTGAGCCGTTGTTTGAAGTCTAAAGTATATAGTACACATTAGTTTTCCATTTATTTCTTGTCTGTACTATTTCTTAGTTTGTTCTCCCATGACATCATTGGCTGCTGTTGTTATCCTTCAAGCTCAACATCATAATCAAAGTATTCGTCTTCCTCTTCTTCTTCCTCTTCTTCTTCCTCTCCAAATAACTCACTATCAGCATCGTCAGGAAGTGGAGGTAGTGAGGCATTTGCCAAGCAAAGAGCTCTGTGCCGTTCCACAATGTCTTCGTCAAATTGGGTGATCAAAGTCTCCAGCATCTCCACTGTCTCGTCGGGTTGTTGTACACCGCCCCCTCTTGCTCGATTGACTGCATTGTTTCTTGCTTTCACTCATCGATCTTCCAAGGAAGCTTTTCGGTTTTGGCCATCAGCAGTTTTTTTGAACTTTGCTTTCCGAACAGCCTCCATATCGTCGGAAGTATTTTCTTTCTTCTTCCCACCCCCAGTAAGTGCTGACGTTATCGATGAAGCAACGGCAGCAAACCTGCCCTGTTGTCCTGCTGCTGCTGCTGGATTCCCAATTGGCACTCCGGATGGTGGCCCTACAGGCCCAATTGGCATTCCTCCTGATGGAAGTCCTCCGGACGGAGCAACCGGTAAACCTCCGAGTGCCTACACTGCTGACGGATTGGCCGGAAGACCTCCCGACGGAGCAATAGGCAGACCTGTACCGCCAGACAATGTTGTTGTAGTAGTCGTGGTCGTCACCACCGATAGCATGTCTTTTACGAAATCTAACCCTAACCCTGACTTGATTTTGATTTTCAGTACGAATACAAACCGCGAAAGCGTGGCCTATCGATCCTTTCAGTTTTTGGAATTTGAAGTGAGAGGTGTCAGAAAAGTTACCACAGGGATAACTGGCTTGTGGCAGCCAAGCGTTCATAGCGACGTTGCTTTTTGATTCTTTGATGTCGGCTCTTCCTATCATTGTGTCGCAGAAGTCACTAAGAAGAACTGAAAGCGTTACAGTTCCTCCCACGACTCAGAGTATCCGTGAGTAGATTGGGTCATGTTTTATGAGTTCAACACGATGGAACAGAGAACGCTGGCAAGAAACACGTTCTCAACAAAACCAAAGGACACGGTAAATTGGAGTATTCGACAGGAGTAAAGCATCCTGCCAACGAACCGTTCCCGCAAATACCACGTTGACTTCCGTATCAACTACCACGTGTATTGATCCAACACGCTACAAACTAGCGTTACTGATCGCATCAATCAAAGTCACAACACAGATTATGAATTACTAAGAAGCGAACTTGGCATTTACCTTGCACTCGTCTTGAATAGTTGCAGTTGATCTCGTTGGGTGGTAGCTACTCTACAAGATCCCTCTATCAAGTAGTATTTCCCCACGTTAGCAGATTAACTAGTCGCAGTTACGCACTGCCACACCTTATCAAGATGGCCGATGAAGCAGCCAGCTCAAGCATGTCCTATACCCTATGCGGCGAAGATGCTTCCACCCAGGGTACACTGCATTCACATGCGCATCGCACTGCTGAACAAGGAATCGACGGATGGATGGATCTCCTACTTCTCACCAAGATGAAGTTATGGATCTCCAAGCTTCCAACGACACCAACGGCATAAGACCAGTACCTCTCACAGGAAGAACTACTGCTCGCGCGATACAGATGTATCACCATTGGTCGTCCAGGAGGAGGCACCCATCCGCGTCGTAACACTGACGGCCGACGCCTCGACCTTTCAGAGTTGACTCTTCCAGCCACACGCGAAATCGTCCATGGCAAACAATGAGACGCAGCGATGCCACGATGACTCAAACACACAAAAGAATACCAGATGAGGCTCATCGACATCGCCCCCCAACAATCCAAACAGTCTGACAGCATGGGAACCTTGAATAGGAACACTCAATAACCCGTGCAATCCATTACCATCAAAGAATGCTGCTCAAGCGATGGATAAGCGATCAGGCCCTACACCCAAGAACCAGGTGTCGCACGGCTCATCGTACATCAAGCAAAGTTGAAAAGCTTCCGCACCAAGCTCATTTATCAATATGGTTACCAGGACCCAAGAAACCACGCCGAAACTGTTTTCATTGATGAGAAAAAAGGCAACAGTAAGTGGCAGGACTCAGAGAGACTGGAGATCGCCAGGACTGAAACGACACCTCGATCCACGGAAAGTACGCCAACCCAACGGCACCAGAAGATACATGTCATATGTCTAATGCCGCAAACACGACGGGCGGCACAAGGCAAGTTTTGTGGCAGGAGGCCACGGGACAGAGACACCAGTAGGCCCAACCTACTCATGTGTTGTGTCCTTACAGGCATCCGTCTGGTTAGTTTCTTGGCTGAGTTGAATTGGCTTGAACTCTGGGCAATGGACATTGGCAATGCATATCTGGAAAGCTACACGACTTAGAAGGTGTGTTTTATTGTTGGTGGGGAGTTTGGAGATATGGCTGGGCATACGATGTAGATGATCAAGGCCCAATTTGGCCTCAAGTCATCAGGTAAATGTTGGCATGTTAGACTGTATGATGTGCTTTACGGATTTGGCTTCAAGCACTCTAAGGCTGAGCAAGATATATGGATGCGTGATTGTGGTGACCACTATGAGTACTTCGGTTGCTATGTTGACGATCTATTGATAGCTTCCAAGTAACCTCAAGTCATCATCGTTCTGCTGCAGGCTCCACCAAACAAATTCAAACTCAAGGGAACTGAACCTGTCACCTTCCATCTGGAATTTGACTTTGAAAGGGATAGCGACGGAACGCTGTCCATGACACCAAGAAAGTACAATGAACGTGTCAAGGCCCAGAATGTATCCTTGTTTGGGGAGAACCCATCCAATAAGGTAACCAGTCCAGTAGAGAAGAACGACCACCCAGAGCTTGATACCTCTCCTCTCCTGGATGATGATTGGATCTCAAAATACCAGTTCCTGATTGGAGCATTGCATTGGGCAATTTCACTTGGGAAATTTGATATTGCAGTCTCAGTAATGTCAATGTCGTCCTTCAGGTTCACCCAAGTGGGCACCATGAACAGACTCCAAAGATTCACTGATTCTGTCAAGATGAACCCAGCAGGAATCAGGATCCGCACCAACGAGCCGGACTACTCCAAACTGGAATACCGAACCTGCGACTGGACAAGGACGGTTTATGGGGAGGCACAGGAGTAACTCCCAATAGATGCCCCACAGCCAAAGGCAAGCCGGTAGTATTGAAGACCTATGTGGAAGCAAACCTATACCACGATAGGGTGATGGCAGTCACTGGTGTACTGTACTATGTGAACCAGACCCATTCGAATGGTACTGCAAGAAGCAAGCCACTCTGGAAGCAGCCACATACGCCTCTGAGTTCGTTGCTGCAAGGGTTGCCACCCAACAGACCATTGCAGCCAGAGTTAAACTCAGGTACCTTGGTGTGGAGGTAAAGCCAACATACAGGTGGCGACAAGTCTGTGTCCAAGTTCCACCCACCCCATCGCCCCTCAATGAAAGACAATTCACCCGTCTCCTACCACTCGTCAAGAACCATTGCCGAGGACATCCTGTTTCATCATCTACTCCGGAGCAATCACCCCAAGACATCCTACGAAACACTGGGTACTCCCAGATATGCCATTCTGAAGCATTCGTTCTGGCAAGGAGACATCAGCTATCCCTAACCACCACCAGACAACATCACAGGTGGGAGCGATGAACATGAAATCCACTAAGTTCCAGTGTGCGAACAAGCTGTGCTGTTGCCAGGTGGAAGAATCGCTGTGACATTTTTATACTCCAACAGTAGGGTCAGCATTGCATCCATCTGGCAATACAGAAATAGCTGATGAACTCTATATACCCAAGTGTGATGCAGTTCTTCAGCCATGACCAATATAGAAAGTTAACTTGCCAGCACCAGCCAAATGAGATGCAAGAAGCCAACCATGGCTGAGTGCTTCGAAGATTTGTTGTCAGTTGATTTTAGCATAATTTAAAGAAGAAGAAGATATGAAAGAACGTGACCAAGATACAGCCTCATAGCACTATTCCACACAGTTAAGCTTCCTGTGATTGGCCAAAGCAAAGAGTTAGTGTTCATCATTGGCGTTAGATTAATAGCACGCAGCCAGCCTTTGTCGCCCATTCCCACTGTCAGAGGAGTGATGCTCCAAGCAGAGCTCTCACCTCCACCACTCTTTCATCTACCCTACGGATCTCATCGATTACGACAACGCACCGGTACCTCGAGTGCAAACGGGTCATTCTCACCACATATGTGGA